CCAGGTTGTGCTACCCCACCACCTATTGCTGCTCAACAATTACTAAGCCTAAAAGAAAGATCTGCCAGGCTGCCAATAGCAAAATAACACTTTTCTTAACCAGCTCTTTTCTCATATCTTTCACATTAGAGTGGCTACACAATGCAGTGTCACTGCAGAGCTCTGCTGGAGGCAATGTAATTCCTGAACTGACCATCAAGATTGGCTTCAGCAAACTCCTGAAGCATCTGCCCTTTCTTCTCCCAGGAACCATCTGCATTTAGTTGGACAGGCAGAGACTTCTCAGGTTTGCTCAGGCTTGCATCTAGAAGACAATAAGGAAAGGGAGGAAATAGCCTTCACTGGCTCACTTCCTTCCCCTAACACATTCCAGACCCCACCATTTTCATTTTAGCAGCTCTTCCTTTCTCCTGATCCAGGCAATGGAAATAGTTGCTGGACCTTCCACTTTCCTCTGGAGGCCTCTACAACAAGGCTTCATGCACAGAAAAAAAATTCCACTCCAGGATAGAAGTCAAGTCCACAAGGCCAAAGAGATGTTCTGCTTGTCCAGCTTCTCTACATTCTCAAAACACTTGGCCAGTCTTCATCTCCTAGATTATCTTTCTCCTTCCAGCATGAGAGTTCATCTTCCCAGGTCACATACAGGAAAGCTCTGCTTACACCACAGAGACACTGTTACTGCTCCCATGGCTGTGTTCTGTAGTCTTCTGAGAACACATAGGAGCTCACAGTGTACTCCAAGACAGCAGCTGGTTTTTTTATAGCAGAATGTATTTGCTGGGCTTTGGCATGGGACTAGCCACATCCTCAAAGCTTAAAATCATTTTGGAGCAAAAGCAGAGTTTGTTCCCACAGACCTTCAGTAGATATTCTGGAAACATCCTTCTGATCTACTCATTCTCCCATGATGTGTTTTCCTCAGTCTGTGTTTTTTTTCTGACAGTTGCATAATTCTTTTGTGGGAAACATCCCAAGTCCAGAGACCTTGATTCCAGCTCGAGTATTTTTCCCATTAGTATAAACTAATGCCACAGTAAATAGGTTTGTGAAAGTCCAAAGACTTTTCTGCACTTCCTTGTTCTAGGAAATATATAAAAAATAAAATCTGTTTCTCCCTGGAGCTGCATCAGTTCTTAATGTTTCAGAGGATTTCAGTGACCAGAGCTTCAGAGCTGCACTTCTCGCCCTTTAAAGGAAAGCAGACAATTGACCTGAAAAAACTGTAGTCCTTATAAATAAATCTGTCACATCCATAATACCTACCCATCCCAAGAATCTGATATTACTACGTCTTTAATTGTGGTCATGGATAGCCCTCTCCTTTCCAGATCTGTTTCCCCTAGCTGTTAATCCAATTGCATTGCACTCTGATATGCTCGGTCCCATCTCGTCTTCATTCTCCCAGGCCAATTTCTGGACCCGTAAGGGACAGCATTTCCATGGCCCAGAGATTGCAAGACCCTTGCAGGGTACTCAGAGTCCTCTGGTTCAGGAAGAAGGAATTAAGGAATTAATTAGGAATTAAACTTTTCCTCCTTGTAATTTCATTATTAGTACAGCTGCTTTTCCCTATGAATAGTATTTCTAATCATACAATCATAGAATATCCTGAATTGCAAGAGACCCACAAAGTTCATAAAAATCCAACTCCAACACTTTCCTGTTAGGAAGGTACCATTTACATGGCCAATCTTTTATTCAGTGATCTTTGCTAGGTGTGTGATGGAAGAGTCTCTCCACACAAAAATAAGTTCACTGTTCAGACCAGTGTGTTAACAGAACTTTCAGATTCAGGAGCTCTGGCAGTCAGCAGACTCTTGTAAACTCTGGCATAACTCAATAATTAGGCAGCATATTTAGTTACCAAACAAAACCAGCAGTATTGTGGGGGCTTTGAGAGTTAAATAGTCTCATTAAAGAGTCCAGAGGCACCAAAGTTGGTGCAAACTGGAGAAGAAGGAAGGATGTGCAAGGCACGGGAGGCAGAAACAGGGAGAACAGGGGAGAAGGCAGGGAAATTACGTGTCCCTCTTGTAGCAGCGGGAGATAAGTCAGGCAGCTCTGTTGTCCTCTTATCTTCCCCTCAAGATGCATTTTCAGTGTGTTCACCACCAAGCCTCACTGGCTGAGGCATTGGGATGGGGTATTTGAGGAAGACTACTGCTGGTCAAGACAAAAAAAAGTGTCCTTATAATCAAGCCGTGAGGTGGTCATTCAGCTGCCATCAAATACCATTTCAGATGTTGTGATTCACCGTTCATTGAAGCACTTGAAGAAAATCCCTACTTTTGAAGTTGTGAGTGAAGTTTCCTTCTGGACAAGGGGTCTGACTTCACTTTGGACACGTTGAGGTAGGTGACTTGAGAAATGCATTTACACCCCTGTCCAGCGAGCTGTAGCTAGGCAGTAATTGTGCCATGTGTTGTGGAGATGACTGGCCCTCCACCACAAACAGCCAGCAGACAGATTGCACAGCAGGGTATTTCATTTCATTGGAAAAGACTTCTGAATAACAAATACATTAATGGAATCCAGAATCAGACCTTAACTTGCAATAAGACAAAAAAAGCTACACTTTCTGGGTAGTTTATTTCCAATAAATAATTTAACCTTTTCCAATAAAAAGTTCTGCCTTCTGAAATAGAGAATTGGCTTTGCAGAAATTATTCCTGGCACAGCATTTGTTCAAAGTCATCCCTACTGGATTCTGGAGGGCAGTATAAGTTTCAGGAGAATAGTTCGGCTATCCTGCAAAATGTTAGTAGCAAAATCTCAGCTGCAAAATCTTCTCTGCTCTTTGAGCTCAAGCTGTACACAAAATAATGAGAGCTTCAGGCATCTCCTTCTCTCAAAGCTGCAATTTATGTCAATAGATAGGAAGGAATTAGTGCAAAGGATAAATTATCCTTTCACTACACTACTGCTTTCCAAAATTTATATTTCAACAATCCCAGGACAGAGCTAGGCAATATGAAAGTCTTTAAAATTGCATTGATCAACAAGTGATAAAAGAATCCTCAAAAAATAACAGTATAAACCCAGTGTGTTTAAAATATCCACAGGAAAGCACAAGCCTTCTGAATATATACTTAGTCTTTCCAAGATTTATTTTTCCTTTGTCCTTAAAGAAATTCAAATTAATTATAAAAATGAGGACATTCCTAATGGGATTTTACTGAAATGTTACAAGGCTTAATTTGTGTGAAAGTACCAACAAGTTTATTCATTTTGTAGGAGTGTGGAATTTGCTTCACATAATACTCAGGACTTAGCTACAGCTTTGATAGAAATGTTATTTGGTAATTATCTGCTCTTCCCTCGGGGGCAAAGTAATTAATTCTGTTCTGCAGTTCACAGCATATTCCGTTTTTACACACATATGAAGGATGAATTTTGGAAGATTATGATCAATACTTACTTTATTGACAACCAATAACTCATCATCCTGACAGCTCCATGACTTTTAAAGAAAATTCAGGAACACAGGAGTCAAACTTCACTTCTTAACCTGTTTATTTGTATATGGGCGGGAGGGGAGACAATAAATCTCAAGGAAAATAAAAATTTAAAATTAGGTTTCATGAAAGAATTAGATGACATTTTGTGCATAAACAAAGAAAACAGCTGCCCAAAATTTATATTTTGAGTAAGTCACAGCTAAGGTAAAGCCCATATGTTTTCCCTTATTTGTTGAATCTTTATTCTTTCCTTTAGAGTAGAGAATAATTTAAAGTTCAGGTTAAATACAAGTTTGAACAATGAATTTTAGGCATAGGTGAGGAGCTGAACTTCCCCTAAGGTACAGTTAAAGGCACATGACTTTTTAGTCCATTACAGAGCAGCTCTGTGTTTTTGGAGTTTAAGTGTTCATCACAGCCTACCCTTAATCAGTGTGGTGTGTTTCATACTTTGAAAGAAAATGCACAGAAGAAGCACATACCAGCTGCTAAAAACCCAAATACAGAGATCCTGGAAATGCTGTCTTTGTGAAGAGGAAGACAAATATGTTCCTTTTGGTATTTTGAACTCAAATATTGCTTTGTGGAAGGCACTGCTTTCAAGAAAAAATACTTTTAGTAATTGCTTTTGCAGACAGTTTTTGCCTGCAACAAGGGAAGTCCCAGTTCAGCAGGGCTATGGGAGAAAGGGATTCTCACATAAGATCTGACTCATTCCCTATCCCAGATACCACAACCTGGGCAAGGCAATTTGGCCAGAGAGTTATGTTTTCCTCCATGTATTTTTGTGAACAAAATCTTCTGGTACAGATGCAAACATACAGCACAGAACTCCCCTTTTTCAGTCTAGCCTATCCCTTGACAGATCCAATGAAAAGTTCATCACAAAAAGCACTCCTGTATAAACAACTGCCCCCTCCAGGAAAGGTGACATCTTCTCCTGCTTGTAATATATTCTGTACTATAAACATGACTATCATTTCTTGGGGTTCTGTTTTCCCAATTGAAAATTATTGATAATGATTATTAGGTTAATAGCATTTTCTACCCAAAAGGAAAGTTGTGTCAACAAATATATTAAAATTGTAAAGAAATGGAGCTATAGGAACACAAATACTGATATAATAGCAAGGAACTAGGAACTTACTGCTCTTAAGTTTTCACTGTCCAAACCCAGTCAGCTCTGAAACAACTGAAATTCTCATTTATTCCATCAGCAACTAAGGGACTTGGCACCAGCCACTTAATTAGTGCTGGCTTTAGTCAGTTTTAAAAAAGCTCGTGCATGTAATCTGCCAATAAGCCAACAATTATATGTTTTACAGGAAACTATTCCATTGACAAAAATTAAGTTTAGGAAGAAGGAGTTGGAGAACTGGAACTGGCTGCATTTCACAACAGTGCTGGTAATAAATCTTGACAATAAAAGGGAATGAATTACTTATGCCAGAAAAGTGAAATCACTAAAAATAAAACTAGAGACAAATTACATTCATCTCCCAGATCTCATTCGAATATCTGACTGGAAAAATTTCCTACCACAATAGCTGCAGCATCCCAGGAGATTTGTCTCTGCCTTCACCCATGCAGCTTTGCCAACCCAGAAGATAAATTGAGTGGTGTTCCTTTCCTCATTATGTGTCCTGCAGCTTGTGGCCAAGACAGAACACTCAGTGTGGATAAGTAAACAGTAGTTGTATCCAGCAAAGATGCCCCTCAAGGATGCTCTTCAGACTCAGGCAGCATTAGTGAAAGAAAGAAAACCAACAAACCAACAAACAAACGAGAAATACCAGACCATCAAAGGTCTGAAAAAACCCTTCCAAGCCCACAGGACTCCTCTGTTTTTCCACACATGGTACAGGCTGGCTCTGGCAGTATGAACACCCACTCTTGTTTCAGACAGCCAGGGACTCAGGATGTGAGCAGTCCTTGTGCTCATCCCATGAGTATTAACACCTTTGGGTAGAACAAGCCTGGTTCTTTCATCACAAGCAGGAAATAAACCTTGTGCCAATCAAGAGGAGAAACAGAGCATCAGCCAGCCTCTCTTTCTTTCTCCTGTCTTCTGCCTGTCACATCACGTATCTCACCCAAGGTCAAAGCATGTAACTTGCATTAAGACTGCAGCATGAAAGTGGTCACAGTCTTCCTCTTCCTACTTTATCACTCCTTCTCCTGAACATGAGGCATCAAGAAGTTTCTTCAAGCACAGGCTCTCCTGCAGCATCCTGGCACGCACATTGCCCAGGATTCATACGTCCTGCTGGGTGCTGGATCTCACTGTGCTGAGCTCACCCAGTTAACACCACAGGATCTGATCCCCACAGAGCAGCCCAGCACAAAGTCAGTGTTTCACTTGGTTCACACAGGAGCATCCTCAGGATTAGTTATCCCTGCACTCAGCCTCATTAACATTCCCTTCTTTGCCATTGAGAAGCAGGGCTAATTACTGAGGAAGCAATGTTGGCTGATAAAACCAAAGTGTCTTGCTGTTCTGGTACTGTTTTAGTTGATACCAGTCTGAGATTATCCACAGCACCCTATACTGAGTGTAGTGAGTGAAATGAGGAATAATGAGGTGAAAAAAACCCCTCCCTTTGCCTTTTTTCATACTTCAGCAAAGGTTTGGGTCATACTTGATTTCAATACAGGTTGAAGGTTGGGGTCAAGTTTCACTGGGGACAGCTCAACTCTTCCTATCCTAATTGCTCGAGCCTACTTTTCATGATTAATTCTCTCATCAGTGCTTCAAGGTCTTCAGGGATTTTGGCAAAGATGACAGCGTTATCAGCTGATCTAATGTGGCTTAGGTGTTCCCATTTATCATGATGCCCTTTCCCTCTCTATTCAAGGTTTTTATAAACTTTTCCAAGCATGAGGTGAATTGTTCCAGTGTGACAATATCTTTTTGTCTATTCTGTTCTTTCATTTGATCTCTTCACTTCTCTTGTCAATGCCTAAATGTCACCGCAACACACTGTTCACATGCTCTGGGATTCTGAGAAATCCTTCTTATTCAGTGTTTCTCATGCTAACTGTGTCCAGGTTTTTTGTGTGTACACCATTTCCATTACACACCTCATTAGGGGCGTGCACCTGCTCCCATCAAAGCCAATGGCAAAATTCCCACTTACTTCAGTAAAAGCAGGTTTGGACCCAGTGGTATGCCAACTGATAAATTAACTTTCATACAAAACCCAAAGAGGTAGGAAATTTTCCAGAATTATGTTTTGCCATTTGAACAAAGGGAGATTTTCTGTAATTGAAGTTGTCAATACATTTTCTGCATATAAAAAATAGCTCCTTTAGCCACTACTGAAGACCTGAGTGAAAATTGACTCTCTAACAATGTTAATACGTAAAATAAAATGGAGTCCAATAGCTTTTTCATAATGTGAACTACATTAATGTAGACACCATTAACACTGTAGACTACAATTGCTTAAGATGGAAAGTGATGCCTGCTTTTTGAAATTAATTGAAGCCCATTGCCAAATGACCAATACAGGATATTCTCCAAGTAACATCTCTGAAGTAAATGGCAACTAAATACAAGAACATAAGGAGAAACACAAAATATTGTTTTGGTCTCTGTGGCAATCATCAAAGAAAGCATGCATTATTTTTTTGAGAGCTTAGGCACATGGAATGGAAAATCAGGGTTGATATGTCTTTAATATTATTCTACCGTGATTACTAATTTGACCTTGTGAAGATGCTTCTTCTATGAGAGATAGAGTGAAATTGTAGCAGGCAGCAGTTTAAAATGGAAGATAAGCTTCATCTTCCTTTACAGTCAACATCAGTCTCTTATTTCTGTGACCTAGGGTATCTTTCCCCAAGCATTCAAACAAATCAGGGCATGTTTAAAGTTGTTTTATGAAATAAAACACATGATTAACTACATTCTTTCTAAATTGGAGTTATTGTATTAAGTCAACATTTTCAGTAAATAAATACCTGATTAGAATTTTCTGAAAGTCAAAAAAATTTTGTCCTAGTTTGTGTTTGACCCACAACTGGCTATATTGTCCATTTTTGATCCCAAAAGCAAATTTCTACTTTCACTGGCTGCAGAACTGTAATATAGATTAATGTCCACTACGCTATAGTTTGAGATGAAATTAATCTCTCTGATGGTGTAAACCAAATTTCAGTCCTAGCCTCCAGAAATTGTTCTGTTAATGAATTTCTTCACTAGTCCTTCATCAGAAATAACGAACCCAGTCTGAAAATCTTTAATCCAATTCCCATGGAGCTCATTAAAAAAATGGAAGTTTCTCTAAGTGAACTATAGAATCAAATATATTCTTTGTATCACTGCTACTGCAGTGAGTTCTATCCATCAGCTTGTAGCTCCTTTGTGCTGATGATACCTGTGTGTTGCCCAGAGCATACATGCACAGGCAAAAAAGGCAGCAGAAGTAGAACTGAAGGAAGCTCGCTTGGCATTCAGCAAGTATCAGATAAAGCAGCATAATCTTACTCCTTGTCAGCATTGTACAACCCCCAGGTTGCCCTCCACCACGGAACCTTTCCCTCCAGACTGCGAGTTCAGTTGCCATAACTGCATATCATATACCTTTTCTACTCAATATCTTGCATCATAGTGTTTATTGTGGAGTGACTCAGATATCAATTGCACCAGGTAAAAAGTCCAAATCATAGTCTTGATGATTTGAGAGGTAATAGTCATGGAAAGTATGAAACAGATCTTCACTCCTCCTTGCTAAGTAATACCTTTCATTAATGACTTGATCAGTGCTCTGGAAGAGTAAAGGTTTTCAGAAGACTACAGCCCAGCTTCCTTAATTTGGTTTTCATAACAAAAGTCACAGAAGCCTCATTGTCTTTTCTAACATATACTTATGGGACATTAGAAACATGAAATTCCCCTGGATCCCCTCTGTAATGCTCTCCACTGTAAGGTTATGTTCCATATGAGGTTATTCACTTTGGCTATCAGCTGTGCTCATCTTCCTGAGCAATGCAGTCAATTTTACCCTGCACTTGACACACAATACACTGATTCCTTGGCTCCCGAGAACAGGCTAATTGAGAGGGTGTGCTGTATTACAGAACATGATTTGCTTAAAAAGATTACCATCTAGCTCATTAATTTTACATTACCATACCATGCTTCTATTGACGTTATCACAATGCTTTCTACAACTACTTACAGTGATCAGAAAAATGCACAGAGATCACATAGCCATTAAGGTGATGAAAAGATTTTTAGAGTCGTTATTATTTATTTATGTTATATCAATCCCTCCTGGTCTTGGTCCATACTGGGTTCACTGTGCCAAGCCAGAAAATGTATTCCCCTTCCTGAAAAACTTGGAGTCTAATTACTCCTAGAAGTAACAAAGATGACACAAACAAATAGGAACAGGGAAAAAAGTAGTACTTATGACTTGCATTTAAGCAAACCAAATATTTTCACAACTGGAGACCTTATGTTCGTTTTATAAATATACTTTACAGAACAGGAGTGAGCAACAACAGAGAGGAAGTGATTGGCAAGGGGACAACTAAAAGACTGAGCTGGTGAGAATCTGAAAGGGAAGCCTGGGCTGGTATTTGAAGGAAAAGAATTCAAATTTATCAGATAGAATCTGATCTCATCAGTGAAGAAAATGCTGCAGTGTTAGCATAATTAGATATAATATTTCTGACCAGTAATGGAAATATTACAATAATTTGTGAAGTGTCTTCAACAAGGAACTAGATTAAATGAGTATGAAACAGTGTGATATGAGCATCAGTATTCTCAGGATTTTCCTGGGAGAAACCAAGGAAATTCTATCAGCAGAGAGTTGAAGGAGCCAGAAGAGATTCAGGTCTCTTCAATTTCCAATGTTGACCTGGTCTAAATTAACTGCTTCTATTTTACACAGAATTCTGAAATTCCAAGTAACACAGCCTTTCATTTCAGAATGAAATTTTAAGTAGAAAATGCTGATGAAAATTAATTGTAATAAGATTCTGCTTGAAAGAATTAAAACATTCCATCAGAAGAAAATGATGGGAAATTCTGCAGCACAACCATATGTGCCCAGTACCATCTGAGACACCCACAACAACATTTGGAAGAAGCACAAGCTGCGAGGTACCTGGCATGGCTCTTTTGACTGCAGGAAGTTATAGGAATGCTGCAATTTACAGCTGAGTTCAGAAAACTGCTGCCTGCTCTTCCACAGCAACGGGTTTGAAGCCATGAGATCGCTGGCTCGGAGAGGAGCCTGCAAGGCTGCCAAACACACTGTTGCAGCAGTGAAAAACAGAGCTGAAGTCCTCAGGCTGTGTGCTGCAGAGGCAGGACACTACAGCAGCAAGGTTTGCCTTTCCCCAGTTCATCACAGTAATCCTTCACAGTGTGCTAGGATTTCCCTGTTATTCCCAGTTTCATCTTTTCCCACTGGTTGTAACAATATAAAAAGGTCAATGGGCAGCACAACAGCTCTGAGCTTGGTTGTTGGCTGTCAGGTTAGCATGGGAGAGCAGCACTGATGCTCCTGGGGCTCCTGGGATCCCCACAGCACTGCATGCTGGAAAATCTCAGCTGAAAAGGAAGATGAGCCTAGACTGCAGATCTCACCTGCAAAGCTGATCCAAAGCCCCTGTGGTTGATGTGTGCACATTTAGGACTCTGCAGACTCACAGGAAATCCAGCCCCAGG